CCAGGAAAGCGGGGGGTTTTTTTTTTTTTTTTTTTTTTTTTTTCCTGACGCAAGACTTCAAACAACCTGTTGTGTCTTTTTGTGAAAGACGCTCCAGTCCCAGTGAAAACAAGTTGGTGTGAAAATAAGTGATGAGTGATTCACTACCCTGCTTCCCCCGTTCCAAATGTTCCTCCCAAAATTCAAAAAGCACTCTTTTATACTAATGCAACAAAGAATAGGGCGCATCTTTCTGGTCCGCACATATCCCAAGATTCATAGCACGACAGAAGAGCGAAAAAAAAAAACAGTGAAAAGTCTAGAGAATAAGAGTCAGACTTCAGCTCAGCTGCAAATAAAAAAAAAAATGGGATCCAAAAGGATGAACTTGGGTTTTGTTTACACGGGAGAAATGTATTTATACGGCAATAAAGTTGTGATAATTTCATGAAAATATATATATATATATATGAGTGACATGTTGTTGTTTCCTCTTTTTCCTTAAGGTGCACCTCCTCACTCATCAGAAGAGAATTCACAAACAAGCTTATTGACCAGGGACCCACGGGAATAGAGACCAGTGAGACGAGCTGCTAATCCTCTGGATGAAGGATGACCTCATCACTACCTCAGTCAATCATGGTCAACAACAAAGCATTGTTCCAGGTAAGTCAGTCCAGTTTTTAAAAACCTTCGACCGAATACAATCGTCATCAAACTTGTCAGTCAAATGTCCCAAAATCACAGTCAGGCTTTAATATATATATATATAAAATAAAAAGAAGACGTGTCTGGAGAGCGGTGGGATTGAACCATCAAGTATCGCAGTATTGCAGTATTGCAGTATTTCCCTGTAACTCCAGTGTGCTGACTAACCTGTACTAGCTGCTCCTGGGTGTCAAACTCTCGGCAGCAGTTCTCCCAGTGGCAGTTTGTCTCATAAACTACCTCTGGTTCCTGTTTGCTCTCGTCCTTGTCTCCTTCCTCCTTCACCAACGTCATACCATCAGGATGGTCCTGAAAAACACGCAGGAAAAACAACCAAACATCACATAAAAATTCACATTCTTCAGTTCGTTCTTATAGAAAATATCAGCGGAGTTAAATCTACACTAAAACCAATTTATTACCATCCTGGCCATTTTAAAAAAAAACTGCCTCTGGGTCCAGGTCTTTGCAGCAGTGACCTGCTGCATCTGGGCTGTCTGGAAAAATCAGTGTGGCGAGAGGAAATGTAGTGGTGAAAGCCCCGCTCTGTATTTGCAGGGATGTTATATGACGGGACCAGAGCGAACATGTGAGGAATCTAACCCCCTCTTCCTGCTGTAGGTTGCTCTATTAGCCCAGACATATTTCACTGTCACAGTTAGGCGGCCGGTGTAGTCTAAAGAGTTAGTGTGGTGTGGGCTCCTGCAGGAAACAGACTGCAGCTCCCACACACACACACACACACACACACACCCCGGGCTGTTTCTGCTGCTCTCATAAGATTTATTTTTTTCTGCACATGCTAAACACTTGGTGTTCTACTGTTTCTTTGGCACCGCAAATTAAAAAGAAATGTTTTTGCCTGCAGTGTCCGAAAGATGAATGGATTGTTTACTTAAGATTTAGCTTAGAGTCGCAACCTGAATCAACCTGACTCCTGACATCACGCTCCAGTATGTCTTTGTGTGACATAGTGGTATATTATGGAATTACGTGATGAAGTTGATGCAAAAGGAAATACTGATTTAAAGTCAAAAGTTGACACAAATACCAATATATTTCTGACTTTCTGATGAAGCCAGACTGTGTTTAAAATATTGAAGATAGTGTTGTTTATCAAACTGGATGTCAAGATACTTGAAGGGAGGCTCCATTTCCATGGTTATAATTCTGGTATTGCCTAAATACCAGCGACATGCCTTTAAAAAAAGAGTTTGGAGCAGAAACTACCATGGGGTTTGTTAGAGTCCTATAACTAAGAAGAAATGACTGAACATAGTAGAGTATCATCTGCATAGAGACACATTTTGTTGCTGGCTAAAATCCATGATCGTTTAAATATTAGTACCACAAAGCCAAGAGGTTTTGGATTTTTTTTTTTTTGACCAGTAATATCGTCTCACCTGTACGCTCACGGCACCTGGACTCGGCAACTCTTCTTCTGGTTTCATCTTGGAGCGTTTGTGGTGCATCGGGTCTCCTGTGCTGCTCACTGCCGACTCGCTGGTCGGTTTGGTCTGTGGAGACAAAACAGTTGCAACATAGATCCGGGTTCTTTCCACATCGGCTTCTCATAACAGTTGTTGACTGTGAGGATAATTTAGTTTTGTTTTAATTTCACCACATCTCCAGTTTAATACCTGTATTAAAAATGCAGGAGGCTCAAGGCTCGAGATCAGGACTTTAATCAGCGCAAATTATACGATAGCCTCAGTCGTAGATATGTAAGGACTACGTTAATGAAAAACTATGCAATTCAGTGTATCACATTAGCTTCCCTAATCATTGCAATTAAAACAAGCTCATGAAGCAATTCCCTGAACCGACGGATGACCTGACTTTGGCCTCAGTTTAAACTTCCCCTTGGGGCAGTTTAATTTACCTTTTAATAAATGTATTTGTGAAAGTTTTGTGAAAAGAAAAAAAAAATTCTCGCTTTTTCTTTTTCATTTTCCGTGATGTAACCCTTTCACTTTTCTATCTGACTCTTGTGCGTAAAGATAGGCAGGAGACGGAGGTTGAGCCTTGGCCCCCAAAGCAATATTCTGTTTATTCAGGGGGAGAGAAAAAAAAAAAGCAATTTTGATGTGGCCAATTTGAGTCAGGCCTCATTTGTGATAATACAAAATTCAAGAAACTGGAAGCAGCAGGGAGGAGCGGTAATACACACTGAATATTTACTTCAAACGTGGGCCCGCACATACAGTAAGGGTTGAGGAAGCAGAGAAAAAGCCCCTTTGGATCCATCCATCCATGTCAATATTCCCTTTCTATATCCCTGTTCCCTCTCTAGTGATTAATGGAGTCAGCAGTGGGATTCTATGCTAACAAGCCCCTTGTTGTTTGCTGCAGGCACATTCTGGGTCGTGCTCAGCAGTATAAAAACAAGAGACAACACAAGTAGGAGGAAAACTCCCAGGAGAGCAGCACGTGGAGGGGGCGTCCTGCCTCTACCACGTTAGCTCGCCGCATTTCTCGCCGGAGATGCGGTTGGCATGCAACGCCGCTATCTATTACCTGTGATGATGAATCGCACGGGTGCTTGCCGACGCCGCTCACCTGTGAGGAGTCATTGGAGATGACTGAGCGCTCGCTGGCACTTAGCCCAGACGGGGGAATGCCAGGGACGGGCCTTTGGGTGGCAAAGGCAGGCGTCGGGTGAATGAGAGGCGGGCTGTGGCCGAAGGCTGAACCCACGATGCCCGGCTGTCGGCTGATCAGCTGCTGGTGCATGTGCAGAGCCACCGGGGTGGCAGGGTAGGGGAAGCTCAACGCTGGACTGGAGAGAGAGAAGGAAGGAAGGAAAAAATGGAAAGCAAAGAAAAGACATTTTATTTATTTATTCTCCAAAGGAGGGGAGGTGGTTCAATTCCCTGCTGATCTCACGTGAGAGGCAGAGCACACCCTGAATAGGGTCACTGCACATCACGGGGTCAAAACATGGGGACAAATAACCGTTCATGCTCACAAATGGAAAGAAGACGTATATTCAGACGCAGATGTAAACACGGAGCGTCTTCCTGGGAGGCACCGGGGCCACGAACCAGTACAAGGAATGCAGTGGTGTTGTAAATTACACAGCGCTGCAGATCATAAATACTCTATACTTATAAAGCACTTTTCTGCCGCTCTAATTCTCCACATTCCATTCACAACCATTCGCTCGCAGTCAAGTTCATCCGTTTGCAGCAACATTTCCGTCACTGTTTGTCTCCAGTTGTTTTTTTTTCCAACAAAGCTAATTTGACTTTAAAATAAAGAGTTTTTATCTATAGACTCATCTATGTGTAGACAGAACCTTAGACTGACTCCCAGAATTTGTATGGTCAAAATATCCACCCCTCGGGCTATAAGTGGCGCTAACGAGTGAATATCAAACATCAAACCAGCAGTTGAATCCATTTTAGAAAAGTTAAAGCTTAGCTAAAGTTAAAGGCTACATGTGAGCTAAATGTTGTTCCTTTTAACATTTTTGTTTTTTTTCCCTAGCTTCTATTTTAGGTACCGCATCTAGTTGTTATTCCTGTGGTTTAAGCTACTATTTAGTCATTTTGTCTTTGGGTTGTTTTCATTTATTGCTTTAACTTTTTTTAAATACTGTCCTTCAGTCTGTTTGGATGTATTTTCTCTGACTCTTATTCCTATTTTCACTCCTTGTGGCCAACTTTGACTAATTCCTTTTTATTACTTTTGGAAACTTTTCCCTTTTTCAGGGGAAATATTTCAAAATGAGAAAAAAAAAGTGGAGACTGTGCTGTGTCTGGAAATATGTGTAAAAGAATCGTCCATTTGGCAAACCATCAGATGACTCCGTCTGAAACTTTGACAACTCCACTTCCTGCTAATATTACATATTAAATGTAGCCAAAGACTGAAATCCAATCAGTGTTTCTCCAAATGTGCGTTTTTCATTTTTGAACATTTTAAGAATGAGCAGCGGAACCTTACGCAGCTCTGCTACTGCAGTACTACGTCGGATAATAAACTGAAGTACAAGTTCACTGCTCACTGTATCAGCTGCAACAGTGTGAAGTGTGAATAAATGGATTGTTGTGGTTGGCTCCTCGTCCCCGAGGACAATCTGACAGGAGACGGTGGTAATGTTGGAACCACGGAGCTGTGGGCAAATTCCCTGCCAATGAGTGTTGGTCTTGTTAACACGCAGTGAATTATCATGCGGTGTGTGTGTGTGTGAGTGTGTGTGTGAGACAGTATGTCACACTTCCACCGGGCAAATGACACGGATGATAAACAGTCTGGAGTGTGTCTTACGGCCTTGTAAATAACGCAGACTGATGTCCCCTGCTCCGGCCACAGAGGGCTCTCTCCGCACTTTATTTACCCTCGTCCTGAGCTAAGTGTGTTTACCCCCGAAGACCCCAGAAGCCCCTCAAACCCTCCTACGGGGGTCTGCATAACCACAGGTGAACCGCCAGATAAACACAGGCCTGTGTGGCTGGGCGGCGGCGGCGGCGGCGGTGGCGGCTGTAGCCTCCCTTCATTCATCCTGAGCTCTGAAGGCTCCGCTCGCGCCGCAGCGCCATGTGTCTGCTGATCTTATTACGAGGCGAGTGGAAATCAATGGGCCGCGACACATTTGGGGGCCCGTCCGCTTGTCATATCACTCATCACTCTGCCGGCTGTGGGTTATTTGGGTCCTGTCACCGGGACAGTGGCCGAGCAGGCGGCGTGATTGATCAGGTTCTTCTTCCAGATCGCTGATCAATGGCCGTGGGTGGGGCGATGGATCTTTCCCTCCACCTCTCTTCCCCGTCCTCTTCACTTTTGATTTCGTTTGCTCGCCTTTCGGTTCTGCCGCTTGATGAATGTGACGTGCCTGCAGGTGAGGGACGGTGGATGACTGACACCAGCCGCCGGGGAGGCCAGCTGACTGGCTGACTGGGAGATGCTCGCCCACATGAGGGTTTGATGTGGACCGTACCGAGATTCACACACTTTTAAATCTTTGTTTCTAAAGCAACTTGTGCCAGATTTTACCCACAATTCCAGCCCAAGTCAAGTCTCCACTAGGGTGGGGTGGGAGGGGGGGGGCAGCCAACATGGCTAGCTGGCACAAAAATCTAGTACAAACGCAAAGAACGAGGAGCACAGAACGTGAGAAAAGATTGACTGAAGATCTCGTAAGAGTTCCCAGAGATTCTGTTGCTTTAGTTGGTTGGACTTGTAGCTTTGGTCTCCCATCAGGTTCAGGTGTTGACGTGTGATCGTGAGTCTGTCAGTCATCATCGTTAGTGTGGACTAAATGTTCTCAAACATGAAAACCTTAAATGGATCTTTTTCAAGTGTTTCTTCTACAGAAATGATATTTAAAATCCCCTGTTAATAATTAGCATGAGTATAAAAAAGGACTCAAACCTCAACCCCTTTGCCGTGTCACACACACAGACTGACCGTCAGTACACTACACTACACCACTGCTGTATGTAAAACACAGCTCTTCACAGTCAAGTGTATTTTAACGAGCGTTCTACCTGAGGGTTCCAGCAGAGAGGTGACCGTAGGAGCCGCTGGTGGACGAGCTGGAGCGGGAGTTGTTCAGCATGGTGACCAGGGAGTTGGGCGAGTTTCGAATCATGTTCTGAAGGTCAAAGCTGTGCTCGGAGAGGGGAGAGACGGGGAGCGGGCGCTTCCTGCTGGGCCGTGATGGTAGCCTCGGGCTGGAGAAGCGAGAGCCTGCGGGATGAGGGGGAAAAAAAAGGGAGATTTTTTTTTTTTATACTAGAGAAGGATGATTGCCATGTGGCTGCAGCGGAAGGGCAAATCGCTTTACCTGGAGGAATGGGTACCCTTCTAAAACAGACCTAGTTCATGAACAGATTTGACTCCAACCTTTTGGAGTTTTATCAGCTCTAAATGGTCAAGGATCAAACACCTCATCTTCTTGCGTTAAGGCAAAAGTAAAGAGTAATTTTACAATTTATTTCCACAAGACTTTGTTGTTTTTTTCTCTTTCTTTGTAATCCTAACTTTAACCCAGTCTAACCCTAACGGATGACACTGTTGTCAATCACCAGACAAAGGCCTCGTCTGAGCGAGTGCTCGGCTGTCACTTGATGCACTGCTTGCATTTCATGCCAGAGAAAACATGCCCCTTTATTTGGCAGAGACGCTGCGACCGTGTATGGTAATATTTAATCAAGTCCAATTTGACTCGTTATTCAAATGCAATCAGTGTTGACTGGAAATAACTCCAATAAAAGGCGGTTTGAAACGGCAGGAGCTTTCTCTGCGCACTCACAATGAGCCACGGGTGGAGATTAACACATGACTTTTGTTGTCGCTTCACGCGGAGATGTCACAAAACAAGACGGGAAAGAAAACGCTGAGGGCTTTGTCGCGCTTTGTGCGTGAACTGACACAATGACTTTGTGACTCAAGACTTGGAAATAAAACATTTTGAGTCATTTCATAAAAGGCAGACAAAACCAGCTTACGTCGGCCCCGCCATAAACTCCCCCCCTGCCCCACAATACCCCCGCGCCCCGGCCGCGAGTGATGCTAATCCCCCACAATCCATCCATCCATCCATCCATCCATCCATCTCCCAAACGTAAATGCTCCATCTCTGGTTTGACACATCCAACGATTTGCTCCATTCACATGGTAATCAGCGCGTGTGTGTGCGTGTGTGTGCGTGTGCGTGAGTGAACGCCTCTGTGGAGTTTGGGCGTACGACGACAAAAGATCCCGGTGCAGCGCGAAGTCCCTCCTTTACATTGTCACCATATGAAAAATCTGTCTTTTTCATGTTTAAGGGAAATGAGGGGAACTTTAAAAACCTTCATCCTAGAACTTTTTCTGACTCACCCAAATATTTTAATTCACCATTTCAGCAGAATCACATTTGACTTTTTTACAAATGTCCGATTATTGGTGAGAAAAAAAAAAAAAATCGACACCACGGATAAAGCTCCTCTCAGAGAAGGCAGTTTATTGCCGGGGAGCAGGTCCATCACATCCCACCGTCGCAAAGCCTCATGGGAGTGGTATTTATTAATGCACAGCCCAAATGATAAATCGGCCGAGCAGGGAGACAGAGAGAGGAGCGTCCTGGATGGGAGCAGGACTGTCCCTCTAATTTCCTCTTGATTTATGGATGCCATGGCTGCTTAGGCATCCCCTCATTAATTTTGGTGGCCACGGCGGGTTCAGACAGGCCGGAACGACGGTGTCGCTAATACAAGCTGGGTCCAAAACTGCGGGTTGAACCCTCGCCGACACACCTGGGGGCCACCTGAGAAGGAGGTCTGTTTTTTTACGTCCATGTGCAAAGTAAACAGTTAAAGCTCATATAAAGTTAGCATCTTTAGAAATGCTGCATTAATTTAAATAAGCCTACATGAATGTGACAAAAATATTTTAAAATTAATAATACATTTAATGCTGCAGTTTGGCCTTTTTCATTGCATTAAAATAAAGCTTTAGTGACTTACAGTATATTATATATATATTATATTATTAAATAAGATATTTGAAAGTGTCAGTAGTGCTTCACTTTATCGATTATAACAATGGTTCGCGTGTTTGTAACCGGAAAACGACCACAAAATGAAGTCCTCCATATTGGGCCACTGGTTATTTATCGCTAATCCGTTGACACGCAGTTTCAAAATTAAAGCGCATCTCGGTTAGACGACGGCTGCTGTGCAGCGCGGAGGCCCGCAGCCCAGCCGCTCTGTTGTTAGCTAACGTTTTATGACATAATCAACTTTATTTATATATGTAACAAAAACATACATTTTGTTTTTTGTATTTTGTTTGTTTCACATCATGAAATCATTTTTAAAAAGATGAATTTTAACATTTAAAAAACAGCATTAAATAATAAAAGTGATGACTGAGGCGAAAAAAAATAACTGATGTAACACGGAGCAGGAGGAAGAAAAGACTTGAGTGAAGTGATGCATTAGAGCTGTGCTACTAATTAGTGGCTGGGAACACAGACAATAGTCCATTAGAGCACAAACAGTAAAGGACAGGCCGAGGGTTTCATTAGCACGCCTCGCTAAGAAGCTAATTACACTGATGTGAGAGGCAGTGAAATAGCAGCAGCTCAGATTATCAGCCTCAGCCTCCTGATAGACTCGCTGCTTGGATGTGTTTTTTTTTTCTTTCTACAACCAGGCTTTAAAGTGTTAATGTCTCAGGCGTCAGAACACACATTGTTGAAACATGATGACTTATTACCGGCAATGATCACAGGCGACTTCTTTTTTCTTTTCTTGCGTAGCGTCTCATCTCCACTTAAATTTAGCCCCTAATTGTTTTGTTTCAGCCTATTAATCTTAAAAAAAGTGACAAAGAAGCGAGGATTTCTGCCCATGATGAATGGTGGGACATCGCAATTCCCTCTTAATAGCAATTCATTTTCTGATCCCCGCACAAGTTTGGCTAGTTTTAATTAGTTTGTACGCAGGAACAAGAGCCGGGGGGGGGGGGGGGGGGGGTCCCCCCCCCGGGGTTCCCCTGAAAGCGGGATGAAGGCGACGTGTGCCTGACGGAATCCAATCCCCATCAAAGGGAAGCGGGGTGAGGCTGCGCGACCTTTCCCAGATTCACCGCGCCTTTAATTTTCTATTTACACTTTAAAATAACTCATTAGCATAAGTGTTTTCCACTCGCCGTCCTCAGCAACGAGACGGCAGCTCATTTAAATAACGTTGGCATAAACTTCCAGTGTTACTTTGATTTATATATAGAAGCAGACGCATTAGGCTGTGGTAGAAAAGTGCACTTTTGGGGTGGAATTCCCACAGGGGCCACCCATGCTGTAATGTGGAGGGACGCTCTCATAATATTTTAAAGTGGGCTCCCAGTGGGCTTGGATGTGGTAGGTGTCTCCTCACCTGCACGGATACATTTGGAGGAAAAACTCCAGGTTTTTGTTCGCAAATCTCGAAATTATTAAGAATAATAACTGGGTAAGAATGTGATAATAACATTAATAAAGTTAATAAAATAAATATCAAATGAAATGTCGTGACTGAGACTGATTAAGATTCAATTTGTTCAACTGAAGACTGCTAACTTAGCAAAAACTGTCATTAGCTGCTACTGAGCTATATGCCAGCTAAGTTAGCTAAACGTTTTAGCAATATGTCACATTATGTTGTGCTAATTTTTCTTGCTAATATTTGCTAGTGTTTTGTTTATTTCTACTTTTTAGTTACTTACGTTTACATTTTTTAACAAATTTTGCAATTTTGTGCAATTTGACGGCTATCTTTAGGCTATGCGATTTAGCTATATTTATGGCTACGTATACATTTTTTACATGCGTTCCAACTTGCTTTCAGTTAACTTAATATATACTTGTTTTTATTTGTAGCTATTTTTGTATTTGTTGCTATTGCTGCCATATCTTTTGCTTCTTCTGTGCTAGCCTTTAGCTTTGATTGCTACTGTCTTTAACTTGAAGCTAATTTTGCTTTTCTTTCTTGTCATATTTGGGCAGTTCTTGCTAACTTTGTCTGGATGCTTTTGTAAAAGTCTTATGTATTTTAAAGGGACATTCCCATGATTCCCAGCATGGAAATTTAAAGGCTAACATGGACCAAATGCCGCCGTGTTGAACCCATTTGTTTGTTTGACTTACTGTCCATGGCCTGCAGATACGCGTCCATGTGCAGGGCGCTGCTGGCTCCGGCCGTGGACGCCACCGTCGGGATCAGGTCAGTGGTGTAGGGGCTGCGACCCGCCAGCAAAGCCATCTGGTGGTAGTACTCAGCTGTGGTCAGACCGGTGTGAGGGGCTGCAGAATGAGAACAATCAGGTCAGTGTGGAGGGAAAAGAAGGTCAGAGGGAGAGAGAGGAGGTGATGGATGAGGGCGAGGGAGGCGAGAAAATGTTTAAGACAATTGAGGATGGAGAGAAAAAAAAAGGAATGAGGTGGGGAGGAGAGAGAAAAGAGGGAGGAAAAATATGAGCCGGTGAGTAAGAGTTGACAGGGAGAGCACCTGCGCCGCTTTAGAAAAGCTGCCTTCATTTACTTTAGATGATAATCAGCTCAGCACAAACAGTAATGAGCGCATTAGCAACACCATCACGCTGCGTGAAAACAGCTGCACGGGGAGCTCCACCTGAAGTGGGGAGTCTCACTGGGGATTAAACAGCCTTCACGTGTATCAGCGTTATCTTCTTCTCCTCATCTCGTAGCCGAGGGTTAGCCAAAACTGACAGAGAGAGGGAGCTGAAAACTCACTTTACTCTGAAGTTTATTCATGTCCACTAATCCTAGCTAGCGCTAATGTGAAGTTGTCTTTATTTTTGTTATTTATTTGTTTCTCAACTGAACTTTTTTTTTCATGTCCCTTTTTGGCTTTTTGAATTTTATTTTCTATTTTACTTTCAATTTACAACCAAGGTCTTCTGGGTAATTTTTAGCCGGCAGTTTTAAAGTCTAGCTAACACTTAGCTACATTTAGGCTGTCTTTGCTACATTGTAATTATCTCTGTGCCGAACGGCATTTATTGGTTAGATTTCTGACTAACTTTTGACAACTTCTGGGCTAACCTTTAGGTGAAAACTGGTGCTAACGCTAAGGTAACTTTTAGACAGTTTTCCAAGTTTTTAAACCTAATATTTGGCAAACGTTTTTTTTTTTTTTATTTTTAAACCCTAATATTTGGCTAACGTTTTTTTTTTATTATTTGGTCTTCAAGAGGAAATATTAACTCTACCGAAACAGGAAGTTGCACAGGAAGTTCCCCTCCGACATTGAGACCTTATTTGGGATTAAGGGCACTGAGCGATTACACTGTGTGTGTGTGAGAGAGTGTGTGTTTGATGTATTCAGTGGCGTCGTCTCACAATGCGGTGCTTAAACAGCCTTTTCTCTTCATGTCCATATACATACAAGTACACACACGTGTGTGTGTGTTTATGTGTGTGAGAGAGAAAGGTAAAAGTATGTGGGCCGACACATCTTTTGCCAGAGATGCTGTTTGTGCATCATTCACGTCTGAGCTGCTGCAGCCTGCAGATATGCAACCTTCTCCTCGACTCCTGGAAACTCTAAAAGGAAACCAGACAAAAGGCCTAAATCTGCACAGATGTATCTGCATATGTAATGATGCACTCAGCCACTCTGCTGCTGCTGCTGCTGCTGCTGCTGCTGCTGCTGCTGCTGTATTATTCCAAGTCCCTCCCTTAGTTATAGTGCACTATAAGTCCTTAAACCGTGGCCTAAAAATAAACAGTGGCTTCCTTATGCAAATAGAGCGAAGACGGAGGAGACCAAGGCTAACGCTGCGGTTTTGGATGCGAACGTGAATCAGATCAGACCCACAGTGTGCAGCACGACTTATTTTACCCTCCCTTCAGTTGGAGAAATAAAGACAAAATAAATAAAGGCTGGATTTCCTCCTAAGGCTGGCCCTGATTGGTGGAATAAATGTATGAAAACCAGCCCAAATGAATTGGCTCTGGGTTTTATGTCTTCACAGGAAGGAGGGAGCGTCGTAATTGTCTCCTCTATTACGCCTCAGCTTTCGCATTCATCCGTAATACAGCGTCCCCTCCCCCCCCCACCCCCCTCCCTATCAATGCACAGAAAATTAAAGGGGCTTTGCTGAATTTTTAAATCAGAAACTCTGGCATCGATACACCATCCTGGGGCAAAAAAAAAAATGGAGGCAGGAGACGAACCACCAGGTGACTGTGGACGAAGTTGAGAAAAAAAGGAGGAGTCAGAATGTGTGGCACAGCGAGAGGGGTGGCACTAAATCCCACCCACTCTAAATCTCCATTAGACTGTGTTAATGAATTCATCATTATTCAAATGTACTTTTGGAGGAGAAAGAAAAACCTTTGCAGTGAAATCCAGAAGTAACAACAGCAGAGCTGACGGTTCATTCATTAAAGAAGTCATTAAGAGGCTCATTCACAGCTGCACGGAGTGAAGACGGGATCATGTGGGAGGACGGGGGGGGACGGGGGGGTGACAACTGTTCTATGGACAAAAGCAGGGCACTACAGAAAAAGGTTTGAAAACCACTTGGTTTTGTTTTCAGCTTTTGAGCCACTGATGAATCACGACCAAAAGACTGAATGCCATAATAGTGATTGGTGTGAAATAAACCAGTTGATTGACTCATTGACTTTCAGGTTTAATGTTTGGTTTTACAGAGGCACTGTATGTCAGGGGAAAAATACATCTTTGACATCAGCTTGTGTAGAACAGTTCTGAAGAGGCGACTGCTGACCAACAAATTCTGACGCTCT